ATTACATTTCCCAGCATCCCTTGCAGATAGGAAAGCAATGAGATGGACGTGTAGGGCATGAAGCGGGGCTTCTGGGAAACTTTTTAAAGGAGCCTGATTTCACAGGCCAGCCTCTTTTAACCTTTACTTCTTCCTCCTTCCAATGGAGACCAACCTTACAACTATGTTAATTCTTCCCAGCCCTGTTTCTCAAAAGTTCCAGATTTCTTACCCTTCTCCTCAAAATCATTGGTCAAGATCCTGGCAGGCTGATGGCTATTTTTACTGGAATTGTCATAATGGAAATATTTTTCTAAGAATGATATTTTTATGCCATGCATTTGCTTTTTTTTTTTTTAGCTGAGCCATCCTGCCACCTGTTGGCAGCTCAGCGGCTGCTCAGCTTGGGCCGGGACTTGAACCGCTGTTGCTCAGAGCTTGCACTCTTGAGCGAGCTCTTAACCAACTGAGCCACTCGGCCCACTTCTGCCATGCATTTGCTTTTATATCATTTTGCTTGGAGAGCTTGGTTTTGATTCTAGCCTCTAATTTTTATATAAATTAACATATTTTGCATAGCTAAGCTCTCCAATTTAGCTTCAGTGTGAGTGCATTTGAATCAGAAGGGTGTTTGAAGCATTATTGGTGTTGGCAAGAGTGCATGGCTTAATACTGGAGAAGATCTTAGAGACCATGAAAGCTTTTTTTTTTTTATAAACTGCTCTGATACAGAATGGTTAACTAACTTGTCCAAGGTCAAAGAAAAACAGTCAAATATAAAACCCATGTCTCCTGGTTCATTTCCTTTCTTCTGTCAGCAGGGATTACAGTGTGGATGGCCACACAGAGAAATTCTTTGACCTTTAGGGGTGAACTGATTGAGTGGTTCTAGTAGATTCCTACAAGGTGACCATGTTCCAGGGACAGTGAGGCCAGGGACATGGGAATGCAGTGCTTAAATGAGTGGAACATTCTAAACATTGAATTTTCTGTCTCATCTAGTTATTTTAGGTTTTGTGCTTGGAGGATACTGGGGCGAGGATTTAGGAATCACTGATGGTGTGTAAGCTCCCTGTGAAGGGAATGAGATGGAAGGCTCTAAAACACTGCCATCTTCTGGTCATTTGGAAACACTAAAAATATAATATTTCAGCTCTTTAAGTACAGTAGTTGCAGAGAAAAGGAAACCTTAGGCAAAAAAAAAAAAGGAGGTGGGTTGGG